AATATGGTTGAGAGAGGGACAAGACTGGTAACTTAACATTCCGGTCTATAGGATCTTCAGGTAGGACAGGAGAGGGTGCAAAAGTGAAGCTAGTGCTGCATTACTAGTTCAGGAGTCAGTTACTACAGCAAAGAGAAATGATATCTTGGAAGGGTCATCAAATGAGCACCCCAAACAGTCTGCGGGCAATTGAGGATCAGATATGTAGTCAATTCACTAAGGTGTGTAAAAATAATAATATGGTAATTATATTGGGGGAATTTCAATGACCCCTATATTAATTGGGATTGTCATAGATTATCATATTGCGTGCAGTTTCGGGCCCCATATCTTAGGAAGGATGTACTGGCCCTGCAGCAGGTTCAGAGTAGATTCACGAGAATGGTGCCAGGAATGAAAAGCTTAACATATGAGGAATGTTTGAGGACTCTGGGACTGTACTCATTGGAGTTTAGAAGGATGAGGGGAGATCTAATTGAAACTTACAGAATACTGAATGGCCTGGACAGAGTGGATGTTGGGAAGATGCTTCCATTGGTAGGACAGACTAGGACTCGAGGGCACCGCCTTAGAGAAAAGGGAAGACCTTTTAGAATGGAGATAAGGAGAAACTTCTTCAGCCAGAGGGTGGTGAATCTATGGAATTCACAGGCCAGGTCATTGAGTACATTTAAGACTGAGATAGATAGGTTATTGATTATCAAGGGGATCAATGGTTACGGGGAGAAAGCGGGAGAATGGGGTTGAGGAACTTATCAGCCATGATTGAATCGCAGAGCAGACTCGATCGGCCGAATCGCCTAATTTCTGCTCCTATGTCTTAATGGTATTATAAAGGGGGCAAATTTCTTGAAAAGTCTACAGGAGAGCTCTTTATGTCAACATGTAGATGGTCCTACAAGGGACAGTACAGTGCTGGATCTAATTCTGGGGACTGAAGTCAGGCAAGTTTTCAAGGTGTGACTAGGGGAAAGGTTTCTTCCTGTTTATCCTATCAATGCCCCACATAATTTTATATCTCCCTGGATCATTTCCCCTCTCTATTTCCCATGCTGTAAGAAAAACAACGCCAATCTGACCAATCTCTCTTCATAACTGAAATTCTCCAGCCCAGCAAACATCCTGGTAAATCTCCTCTGCACCGTCTCCAATACTATCAGATCCCTCCTGTAATGTGGATTACATAACCTCCCTGCTCTTAACCTCTATAACTTGGTTAATAAAAAGTAAGTATACATTACACCTTCTTGACAACTTTATTCTTCTGTCCTGGTACCTTAGGGACCGGTGTACATGCACATCCAGGTCCCTCTGATCTTCAGTACCTTCCAGGGTGCTTTCATCATATATTCCCTAGCCAGGTTTGTTCTGCCCAAGAGCATCACCTCACATTTATCTAATTGAATTCCATTTGCCACTGATCAGCCCCACTGACCAGTCTGTCTGTATCCTCTTGTGATCTAAGGCTAAGCTCCTGTTTACCAACCTAACAATTTTTGTATCAACTACAAACTTGCTAAGCAACCCTCCTATGTTCAAATCTAAATCATTTATATAAACCACAAATAGCAAGGGCCCTGTACAGTATGGGCTAAAAGGCTAAATTAGTTGATGATATGCGACAGATGCATGACCTTGAATGAGTCCTGTGAACATTAATGTTGTACTGAAGCCGGCATAATCAATGTGTTTTTTTTGGCTGTTTTTCTGTGCCTTGCTGTTTGTCACACTATATCAGAGAGAGAGTTTTGTTCCAAGGTGCAGGATTTCACCTTGTACTGGGATCGCGAATGGTGCCAGGAACAAACCTAAGCCTCCAGACCAGCCATCGATTGAGGGGTCCCCGACGTGGAAGAGGAAGTGAGGCTCATTGCTTTCTTTTCCTTCCTTTTTCATCTTCGTTTATTACATAATAGATGGTCATATTTCAGACTTTTCATTCCCCCTTTCTTTTCCATTTCTTATTATTACTTAACAAATGTTCATATTTAAACAAATTGTTATTGTTGAGTCTTCTTTAAATTACAGTTAACCGAATCCAAAAAGAACCACTTAGATACAATGGACACAGACTTTCAATTGGAAAAATATCCTTTAACCATCACCCTCTGCATTCTGCCACCCTGCCAATTGTGGATCCAATTAGCCCTTATCAAAGTCTTGCTAAGGTCTATGTAGACTACATCAAAAACATTGCCCCCATCTAAACAGCTGGTCACATCTTGGAAAAATTCAATCAAGTTATTCAGACATGCATTCTGACTGTTCTTCATTAATCCCTGTCTCTCCAAATGCAGATCAATTCTGTCCCTCAGAGTTGCTTTCAACAGTTGCCCCACCACCAAAGTGGACTGATTGGCCTGTAATTTCTTGGCTTACCCCTTGCTCTCTTCTTGAATAATGGCACAACATTGGCTGTCCTACAGTCCTCGAGCACCACGCCTGTTGCCAGAGACGATTTGAAAATCTTTGCAAGCACCCTTGTTATTTCCTGAGATAACAAGGTGTAGAGCTGGATGAACACAGCGGGCCAAGCAGCATCAGAAGAGCAGGAAAGCTTCATCCAGCTCTACACCTTGTTATCTCAGATTCTCCAGCATTGGAAGTTCCTACTATCTCTTGTTATTTCCTTCCTTGTTTCACGCGCAATCTGGAATACGTTTCATCCGGCCCTGGAGATTTATCTACTTTTGAACCTGCCAGACTACTTAGAGCCTCCTCTCTGTCTATGGTAATTTCTTTAGTGTTATCACAAACCTTCTCCCCAACTTCCATAACCACATCGTCCCTCACACCAGTGAACACTGGCCCAAAGTATCCATTTAGAACCCTACCTACATCCTCTAGCTCCATGCACAAATTACTGCTGTGACCCTTAATGGGTCCTATTCTTTCCCACATTATCCTCTTACCCTTAGTGTACCTGTAAAATAACATAGAATTTTCCTTTCTTTCACCTGCCTGTATCTTTTCATTACCCTTTTAGTTCTCCTAATCTTTTTAAATTCCCACTTGCACATTCTATACTCCTCTAAGGCTTCTGCTGTTTTGAGCCCTGATTATCTGCCAGAAGCTTCTCTATTTTTCTTAATCCAAGGCTGTATATCCCTCAATATCCAAGATTCACAGGATTTGGTAGTTCCATGGTTCTTCTTTATTTGAACATGTTGGTCCTGTACCCTCCATATTTCCTCCTTGAATGAATCCCACTGTTCCGAGACAGATTCATTTGAAAGTATGTGCTCCCAGTCCATTCTGATCAAATCGCATCTGATTTTATTAAAATCTGCCTTCCACCAGTTGAAAACTTTGAGTTCAGGCCCATCACTTTCCTTTTCCTTAACAATCATGAATCTAATGGATAATGAATTGGGTCGTGAATTCCAGGGCCTTCGAGAAAAGTAATTTCTCCTCATCTCTGTGTTTAAATCTGTGGCATCTTTTCCTAAAACTATGACTTCTTGTTCTGGGTTGCCTCATGAGGAACCATCCTTTCCATGTCTACTCTGTCATTCCTCTTTAGCATCTTACATATGTCAATTAAATCTCCTTTCATTCTTCTAAACTTCAGAGAGTAGAGGCCTAAACAGCCAATCTCCCTTCACAAGACAATCTCCTCATCTCTGGAATCAATCTAGTGAACCTCCTCCAATACAACTATATACCTCCTCAAGAGACCAAAACTGTATGTAAAATTCCAGGTGCCTTATAAAGTCATAGCAATACTTCCCGATTTTTATTTCCTGTTCCTTTAGCAATAAATACCATAACTGCATTCACCTTCCTTATTATCTGATGTACCCACTCACTAGCTTTCTGCACTTCTCTCAAGGAGCCTATATTAAACTCCCAGCGATGTGACTGCTCGTTTTGGTTTTTAAGTTCTACCATACGGCTACATTTGAGGAGCCTTCTAAGATGTCATTCCTCCTTACTGTTGAAATAAATTGCTTGATCAAAATTGCAACACCTCCTCTTCTTTTACCTCCTTCCCTGTTTCAGTGTTCTATAATACTGACCTGCCAATCATGCCCCTCTCTCAACCATGTCTCAGTAACAGCAATAACATCATATCCCCATGTTTTAATTTGTGCCCTCATTCATCTGCCTTGTTTGTCAGACTCCGAGCATTAAAATAAACTCCAAGATTGCCAAACTCTCTTGTGCCTTAACTGGCCCGATACGTCTTTGCCTTCTTGATTCATTTGCCGTCTTTCCTAATTCTGGCTGTTCATCTCACCCTGCAGAATATTCTCTCTGGGTCCCACCTCCCTGCCAGTTAGTTTAAACTCTCCTCAATAACGCTATCAAGTCTCCCCACAAGTGTACTGGTCCCATTCTGATTCAGGTGCAACCTCTCCACCTAGTCTGGTTCCACCACCCCAGAAATCTAAAGCCCTTCCTCCTGCACCATCTCTCCCAACATACATTGATCTGGATTAACCTCCTACCTGTATTCACTCGGCATTTTCATTTGGGTCCTGTTCTTTAATTTATTTCCTAGCTCCCTAAATTCTGTTTTCAGGGTCTCATTCCTTTTTCTACCTATGTTGTAGATACCAATATGTACCACAATCTCTGTCTGTTTTCCTTCCCCCTTCAGAATGCCCTTTTGTGACATCCCTGACCCGCACTAGGGAAACAACATACCATCCTGCAGTCTCTTTTGTGGCTGCAGAAATACCTGTCTGTTCCCTTTAGAATTGACTCCTCTACCACTGTAGCCCTGCTGTTCTTTTTACTCCCCTCTTGTGCAGCAGACCCAACCATTCTGCCAAGATGATGGCTACCACTGCTTGAATGAGATCTTTTGTAAATCTAAATGATCAATTTCATCCCTATAATTTTTGTCTATTTTCAGGGAATTCTACAAATGAACTACTTGTCCATATATGACAATCTCATTTCCTGACAACTACAACTGCTTCCGAACAAGATTTTCTCAATATCTTCAGCCTGCAGAACTACAATTGAAACAATGAAATTAATGACAAACTTACCTTCAATCATGACAACTTGGTCTCCTCTCTTTTCTGGAATCAGAACAGGAGCCTGAAGATACAGCTCTGCTACATCTCTGGCTGTACCCAGCTTATTGGTAACCTGGGAGAAGAAAAACAACAATTCAGATTCATAAATATAAAATAGGATAACAGTATTGTTTATTACACACAATTATGCATTATAAAGCAGTATTGCTAAACAACATTTTTATTTTTGTTCGGCAGGATATCACGATGACGTGTAGAAGGGAAGAAAAGCATAAACAGAGAACCAGGATGGGTGGCAATATAATGTCAGCAGGGAGTTTGGAATAGATCTTTCAGACTTTTACCCATAAGTGTTCTCATGACGATTTCCATTGCATTTAGCAGTTCCATAATTTTTGCATCCATGAAAGAAAAAACATCTTGCTGTGGTTTTTAAAAAAAAATTCTCTTGTGGGACATGGGTGTTAATGGCTGGCCAGCATTTATTACCCAGCCACATTTGCACTTGAGAAGGTGGTGCTGAGTTGCCTTCTTGAACCGCTACAGTTCATGTGTTGTAGACAGCTCCAAAATGCATTAGGGAGGGAGTTCCAGAATTTGATCCAGCGACAGTGAAGAAATGGCAATATATTTCAAAGTTAGAATGGTGAGTAGCTTGGAGGAGAACTTTCAGGTGGTGGCGTTCCAATATATCTGCTGCTCTTCTTCGTCTGGATGGAAGTGGTCATGGGCTTGGAAGGCGCTGTCTAAGCATCTTTGGTTAATTTCTGCAGTGCATCTTGTAGATAGAACACACTGCTGCTACTGAGTGTTGGTGTTAGAGGGAGTGGATTCTTGTGGATGTGGTATTAATCAAGTGGCTGCTTTATCCTGGATGGTGCCAAGGTTCTTGGGTGTCGTTGGAGCTGCACCCATCCAGGCAAGTGGGGATATTTCCATTCCACTCCTTACTTGTGCCTTATCGATGGCAGGGTGGACAGGCTCTGGGGAGTTAGGAGGCAAGTTGCTCCTTGCCTCTGACCTGCTCTTGTAGACGTTTTTGGTGAGTTCCATTGTGTTTCTGGTCAATGGTAACCACAAGGATATTGATATTGAGGGATTCAGTGATGGTAACACCATTGAATATCAAAGAGCAGTGGTTAGATAGTATCTTATTGGAGATGTTCAATGCCTGGCATCTGTTCGGCATAAATGTTACTTGCCCCTTGTTAACCCAGGCCTGAATACTATCCAGGTCTTTTTGTAGACTTCTTCAGTATCTAAGGAGTTGCGAATGGTGATGAACATTGTGCAATGATCAATGAACATCCCTACTTCTGACCTTATGATGGAAGGGAGGTCATTGATAAAGCATTTAAAGATGGTTGGGCCTTGTAGAACATGCTGAGGAACTCCTGTAGAGATGTCCCGGAGCTGAGATGACTGAACTCCAGCAATCACACCATCTTCCTGTATGCCAGGAATAACTTTAAACTGGAGACATTTTAACCAATTCCCATTGGCTCCAGTTGCTTGGTCTCCTTGACACCACACTCAGTCAATTGATGTCTAGGGCTGCCACTCTCAACTTACCTCTGGAATTCAGCTCATTTGCTCATGTTTGAACCAAGGCTATAATGAGGTCAGGAGCTGTGTGACCCTGGTGGAACCCAAACTGGGCGTCACTGAGCAGGTTATTGCTGAACAGGTGCTGCTTGATAACGCTGTTGATGACACCTTCCATCACTTTACTGATGATTAAGAGTAGACTGATGGGGCACACCTGGGCAACTTTTCATATTATCCCTTAGATGCCTATGTTGTAGCTGTACTGGAATATCTTGGCTAGGAATGTGGAAAATTTTGAAACACATCACTTCAGTACTATTGGCAGAATATTGTCAGGGCCCATAGCCTTTGAGTATCCAGTGCCGCCAATCATTTCTTGATATCACGTGGAGTGTTTCAAATTGGCTGAAGAAGATGGATCATTGACTCGGCACTTCTGGCTAATTTTGCTATGAATGCTTCAGCCTTATCTTTGCACTGATGTGTTGGGCTCTTCCATCATTGAGGATGGGAATATTTGTGCAGCATCCTCCTTCAGTGAATTGTTTCATTGTCTACCACCATTCATGATTGGATATGACAGGACTGCAGAGTTTAGATCTGATCTGTTGGCTGTGGGATTGCTCAGCTCTGTCTATCACTCGCTGTTTACGTCACACAAGTAATCCTACTTGGTCACTTCAACAGTTTGGCACCTCAATCTTAGGTACATTTGGGGCTGTACTTGGCACGCCCTCCTGCACTTTCCATTGAACCAGAGTTAATCTCCTGGCTTGATAGTATTGGTTGAGTGTGCATAATGCCGGGTCATGAGGTTGCAGATCATATTGGAGTACAGCTACTGTTGATGGCTCACAGTGTCTCATGGATGTCCAGTCTTGAGTTGCTAGATCTGTCTGAAGTCTGTCCCATTTAGCGCAGTGGTACTACTCCATAATACAATGGAGGGTATTCTCAATATGAAGGTGGGACTTCGTCTCCAGAAGGACTGTGCACTGGTCATTCTTACCGATATTGTCATGGTTAGGTGCATCTGCACCAGGCAGATTGAGGAGGATGAGGTCGAGCATGTACTTCCCTCTTGTTGGTTCCCTCACCACCTGCTGCAGATCCAGATTAGCAGATATGTCCTTTAGGACCCAGCCAGCTCAATCAGCAATGTGGTTTCCAAGCCAGTCTTGGTGGTGGACATTGAAATCTCCCACAGTACATTTTTAAAATTCATTTGTGGGACGTGGGTGTCGCTGGCTGGCCTGCATTTATGGCCCATCCCTAGTTGCCCTTGAGAGGGTGGTGGTGTGCTGCCTTCTTGAACTTTTGCAGTCCACCTGCTGTGGGTTGACCCACAATGCCTTTAGGGAGGGAATTCCAGGATTTTGATTCAGTGAAAGTGAAGGAACAGCGATATATTTCCAAGTCAGGATGGTACGCAGCTGGGAGGGGAACTTGGAGGTGATGGTGTTCCCATATATTTGCTGCTCTTGTCCTTCTAGATGAAAGTAGTTGTGGGTTTGGAAGGTGCTGTCTGAGGATCGTTGGTGAATTTCTGCAGTGCATCTTGTAGATAGTACACACTGCTGCTGCTGAGCATCAGTGGTGGAGGGAGTGGATGCTTGTGGAGCATTTTGCACTACTGCCACCTTCAGTGCTTCCTCAAAGTGTTGTTTAACATGGAGAAGTACTGATTCATCAGCAGAGGGAGGATAATATGGGATGTTGAGTAGATGGTTTTCTTGCACATGTTTACTTTGACGCAATGAGACTTCATGGAGTCCGGAGACAATGTTGAGGACTCACAGTGCAACTCCCTCCTGGCTGTACATGACCGAGCACCACATCTGCTGGGTCTGTCTTGCCAGTGGGATAGGATGTATCCAGAGATGGTGATGGTGGTGTCTGGGGTATTGTCTGTAAGGTATGAAGTAAATAAGGACATTTCTTTCATTACAAAGAAGACATTCTAGGGCTACAGAGATGAAATCCATTGATGAATTTTACTTTTCTTGATGGTGGATACAGCCAGACAGAGTTTGTGGTGTGCTGGTTCCAGCCCAGGTTGCAAACGATGACAAATAAAGTACCCTGTAGCCAATTAACAGCTGCTGCGGGAAGCTGGCCAACGAGGAGAGACAAGGGTGATTAGCTTGTTCAAACTTTCAAGGTGAGATCTCTGCGGAGAGAGGGGGCAGGCTATGCATTGGAAGTTGGTCATGATCACCCATTTAATGGTATCCCATCATGGGGTGATGGCAATGTCACCATGCTTAGTAGTTTTTAGACCAAAGTTTAAAGCCAGAAGTAGCAAGTGGTTGCCAGCCTTAAGCAGGGTTTCAAAAAAGCTTCCAGTGTAAAAGCAGTTCAGCTAATTAAGAAAAAAACAGCTACTGGATCCTTATTAATGAGTCAGCTAGACTTTTGTCATCGGAGCATATAAAACTAAACAACACAGTGCAACTTAGCATTTAAGACTGTAAGATGTAGAAGCAGAAGTAGGTCATTTGGCCCATCGAGTATGTTCTGCCATTTAACGAGAACATGGCTGATCTGATAATCTTCATGTACTTTTCTGCCTTTTCTCTATAACACTTGATTCCCTTACTAATTAAAAATCTGTCTATCTCAGCCTCACCAGCCCTCTTAGTAAAGGATTTATCAGATTCACTACCCTTTGAGAGAAGAAATTCTTCCTTATCTATGTCTTAAAAAAGATGATGCGCTTTGGTCCTTGTCTCCCATAAGAACAAAGAACTGTACAGCATAGGAACATGCCCACTGGCCTACCCAGACTGTGCCATCACATGATGCCTTTCTAAACTAAAGGCCTTTTGCCTGTATGTAGTCCATATCCTTATATTCCCTGCCTATTCATATACCTGCCATTGTTATTGCATCCGTATCCACAACCTCCTCTGTAGCACATTCCAGGCACTTACCACTCTGTATAAAAAGCTTGAGGCTCACATCTCCTTTAAACTTGACCCCTTTTATCTTAAATCTATGTCCCCTATAAATTGACATTTCTACCTTGGGAAAAAGACTCCTACTATCCATGCCTCCCATAATTTTGTTAACTTCTATCATGTTGCCCCTCAACCTTCAATGTTCAATTGAAAACAGGTTTGTCCAATCTCTCCTCATAGCAAATACCCTCCAAACCAGGCAACATCCTGGTAAACAATTTCTGTACCTTCTCCAAATCCTTCTTGTGGTGTAGCGACCAGAACTATACACAATATTCCAAATGTGGCCTAACTAAATTTATATGAAGTTGCAACATGATTTGCCAATTTTTATGTTCCAAGCTCCGACTGATGAAGGCAAGCATGCCATACGCTTTCTTGGCCACCTTATCCACTTATTTTGCTACCACTTTCAGGGAACTGTGGGCCTGTATGCTGGGATCCTTCTATATGTTGGTGTTTCAAAGTGTTCTGCTATTTATTGCATACTTCCCTCCTACACTGGAGTCAGGGAGTGTCCCAAAGGACTGGAAAATGGTTAATGTCTAAGAAGGGAATGAGGCAAAAAAAAGAAAACTACCAGCTGGTTAGCCTGATCTCGGTT